TCATCATCATCATCATCATCATCATCATCATCATCATCATCATCATCCCCCTACATCAATAGCTTCCGGATGGCCATCCTGTTAGCCCACATTCCACTGCTTCTGGCCATCAGATGCAGTTGGTGTGGACGAAAAGAAGAGGTTTTACTGCACCTGTTAGCCCACATTCTTCTATGCTTCGCAGGTCTCCCTCCTCCAGTTCCATCCATCCCCAACAGACCTCTCGGGCCATCCAACATTCGCCCCCTCACAGTTGGTCACGTGCATTCGCCACCTGCCTAGAGTAAGCGCTCCAATGGCCACCAGCACGACTGCTCCTGCATCTCCAGATGTCTCGAACCGGACCCTTTCATGAAATGAATTTGTTTCTACTACAGGATGCTTGGCAAAAGATTAGATCTCTAGAAGTTGGTAAAGATGCTACTACAAATGCCCAACCACCAGAAGGAACGAACCTCAAACTAAACAGTTCAGTGTTCCTCTCTATCAACTGAAAAAATAAAAACAGAAGAAACGAATGGCACCGGGGAGATTCTTCAGAGAATTCGCTTCGCTCGCAGCGCGAAACGGAACGGTTGGCTCCGTTCTCGGAACGAATTAGCACAGGCTATGATCCTATGCCTTCGCTCGTTCGTCTCCGAAAAGTCTTCACTGGGGAAGCATCCTCAAGGCTCGGGAAAGCATCCCCATCCCTCAGAGCGACCTGGAGTTCGCTGTCCCCCATCCCTCCAAGTCGCCCCTCCTTTCAGACCCGACGCGGGATCCGCGTGCGCTCGCCACTCCTCGGGCATGTCCCCTCCGTGACATCCCGCTGAAGGAAAAGACCGGACGATGACGTCGGCCCCAGTGCCGTTGGTTCCGTGGCTCGCGAGCCGAAAACCCACGGAGAGCGGCTGGGGCGGGCGACATCGGCTGTTCGAGCCACACGACGATCCGGGCTAACATGGACCTATGCATCGCCCAACCCTGCAGGTCCTCGTCTTAATCTTGGCAAATAGCGTGGTCAAGCGATCTACTGAAAGCCTCTCTATTTGATCAAGTGAATGGATGTGTGTTTTAATATGTTTTAATAGGGGGACCTCACAAGCAATGCGTAGACTGGTCTATTTTCCTTCTTCCCGGGTGTCTTTCGGAGGTCTCACTATTTTAATACACACCCGAATATGCCTCAGCCTCATTGACTGTCCAGAGGAACATACTGGTAGGTCACAGAGTGATCCCCAAGATTCTTGCAGTAAATTTCACAAACAGATTGTTGGTTACTATTAATCTACTCCGGGAATCTTAGGAGCCCCTATGTAGATTGCACATGATTATGCTGTTCGACCAAGCTCCTCCAGACTTTCGAACAGTCATCAGCTTAGACTTGGGTTGTATGCCGCACTTCTGCGGCTACCACGTGCAGGCCAAGCATCAGAAACCACACTATGGCTTTGACTGTTGTGGCTGAAAATCGAGTAAGGCAAAGCCAAGACAACAGGTGTCACATCTTCTTCCTTTCAAATTCTTCAAGCCCACGAACATCTGGAGAGACCGGGAAGAAACCTTTTGAAGCGGAGGATTCGCCCGGAGTTTCACGGCGAGTTGGCAACTCTTCTCGAACTCTGAAGTGCAGACCATCAGACAGCGTACCAAACATATCATACATACCTGGATCTTCCAACGGTGTCAAATTTGTGCTTTTCCATCTATAAAACCGGCCAAAAGACTGACATTTGGCACAGTTGGAGGATCTAGGTATGCCAGTTCTTTTTCTTTTTCCTCCGGTGCAAGGCAATCTGCGCCTCTGCCAACCATCGGTGGCTGTGACGTCGGGGCATCTCTGGCTACCGGGATCCTCCCCACCCGTCCTTCACCGCTGCGCAGCGAGTGACGGAGCCGGCGGACGCGCCGGTCAGCGCAGGAGGGAACGTCCCGCAGTCACGAGGCGTGGAACCGCCGGATGCACGAAACGCGGTGGAACTCAGCGGAACACCTCCGCGACCACCCACGGGGCATCACGCTCCGCTGGGACGCTGCCGCTCTTTTCTAGCGCGCAGCGTCACCCCTGGTGGCGCCGCTGCGGAGGCGCGCGAAAGCGGCGCCAGCATGTCATGGACGTCATGGATCCGAATCAAAAGCTCCTGTTCTGCAGGTGGCTTCCCTTTTAGCTCCATCATGCTCCATGTTTATGACTTCGATACGTCATCTTGGGGTAATGTCGTTCTTTGAGTCGTTTTTGGACAAGAAAGGTGGTTCCAACCGAGTCTAGACAAGCCCATACCATGATGCCCATCAAAGGAGCAGGCAATATGCCTTGAGAGGGTCTGGACCCCGTTCAGAGAACTTCAGCAGCAAATCCAATTTTGTCAGATTTACCTTCAGTGAACAGCACTTAGCTTGCTCTCGGCAAGATGTCAAAATATCTCCATTGAGCATGAAATGGATATGGTCAATTAACGAAAGATCGATTCTCTTCTCTATTTTTGTTTTCAAACACATTCTAATCTTGAACAGCCAAACAACGTCACCTCTTCACAATGCAAGACGTATGCAGCTTCTTTGGAAGAGAGATCCGATGTGGTACCAAAAAAGACTGTGGATGTGGTCCAAAACCCGATGAATTACATAGATTACAGTGTTGTGCCCCAATTGGTGCTGACCAATCCCACAACTCTCATGGCCAAACATGACCGGCTCTCGGAGAAACGTGTGTGAGAGGCGAATGATAGGCAATGAGAGGCGAATGAAATGCGATGATCATTCCGGTGCGAGGGATATCAGGGATATCAGGGATATCTTTCAGGGATTCTATGATCACTCCTTCGATGGTGACCACAGGAGGCTTTTGACGGCCACGGACCAGGACAGCTCGAACCGCTCGAACCGTCAGGGCCATCCTCATGCCTGGGAGGGAACTGCACATCAGTTGCGACACTTTGTGGGTGCCAAAGGGATGGTGTGTATATATATATATACATACACCCTTTTTTTACGAGTCAAGGAATTTCCTTTACTACAGTGTTGCCAAAAATAGTCGTTGCACTTCTAGGGTACACAAAAACACTACGCCTAATAATTGCGAATTCGGACCCTTATATATATATATATATGGAAAAAGATTTGAGGATCTAAATGCCTCGGCGTCCGTCCCCTACTGTGGAAAGTTCCAAGGAATGTCTGGATCGACCATCGCCATCTCGGGCAGCACCACCCAGTTTGTGGGGGGTGACGGAGAAACGCGCAGAAGCCAGCGTCCAAATCGGTGACGAGCATTCGGTGACAAGCCCGTGAGTTCAAACAGAGGCCCATGGAGAAGGATTCCGAAGCACCCTTCGAAGCGTGTAGTGTCGAACGTCCCTGTGCCTTCTCGGTCTGACACGCCTCCTCGTTCTCCTGCGCCTGGGCAGCTGGACCCTCAGGAGAAAATGACCCTCAGGCAACTTCATTGGGCATCTTTCTTATGTTGATGCGAGCTATTGTTTGTCGATGTTGTTGCTGCTGTTGTTGCTCGTAGACACAAAACAGCCGCCCAACATAGTTCTCACATGTTGCAACTTAGGGAACTTCAAGGGGACAAGGTTGGGGATATGGTTGAAGGTTTGAGGAAATGTTGTTTTCGCAAGTAGCTGGACTAGTCTGAGTCCGTTTTTTGTGTTCTTGAGGCGTTGTTCTGGGGAGTGGTCAAAACAACAACACGGTTCTTGTTCTAGGCGAGGGTATTGACAACAACACCTTTTGAGGAGGGCGAAAAAAACAACTACGTGGCTCCAGCTTTTGTTTCTAGGATGTGGTAGAAGTTCCTATAGGCAGGCAGGCAGGCAGACAGACAGACAGACAGCCAGCCAGATAGATAGATAGATAGATAGAAAGATAGAAGATAGATAGATAGATAGATAGATAGATAGATAGATAGTAAGATAGTAAGATACTGTAATATACTGTAATCATGTAACCATGTCATGATGTAAGATAGTATGATGATAGCAAGATAGTAAAGTAGTAAGATAGTAAGATAGTAAAATACTAAGGTAGTAAGATAGTAAGATAGCAAGATAGTAAGGTGGTGGTGGTAGTAGTAGTAGTTGTAGTAGTTGTAGTAGTAGTAGTAGTAGTAGTTGTTGTTGTTGTTGTTGTTTTTGTTGTTGTAGGAGTAGGAGTAGCAGTAGCAGGAGCAGCAGCAGCAACAGCAGCAGCAGCAGGAGTAGTAGTAGTAGTAGTAGCAGTAAGGAGGAGGTGGAGGAGGAGGAGGTTACGATGACTACCCGAGACTACTTACCACCACTGCTACTAGTACTAGTAGTAGTAGTAGTACTACTGCTACTACTACTACTACTACTCCTACTCCTACTGCTACTGCTACTGCTACTACTACTACTACCGCCACCAGTACTAGTACC